GCGTCCCATTATTTTCCAACCACCCCAACATTATTTTGCTACTATTTTGCAACATAGTGCTTCGCAAAAGGACAATCAAATACGGGGCTGCTGGAAAGTATGAGCGTTACAGCACAACATGTATTAGGTTGGTAAATAGTTTCTGTTATCCTTTAAAATTCTAGTCTCAAAAATCTCAAAGGCTGCTGAAAGATCTTTACGACGTTTGGACAAGATTCAAAGGTCGACAACATCACATTCACGAATTATAAGGAAGAGTTTTTGATTGACATTTTTTTCAACCACCATTTACGAAGCTCAGGAATTGACAGTGATGCGGTAACAGAGGCAACTTAAAAAACATTCAAAAGAAATTATAGAATAGGAAAAGCACAAATAGACGTAGAGAAAGATTTCAGAAAACAACTGGAAATTAAGTGTGTTTACAAAACTGTCGCCAACTTGTTCATCTGCGCATTTGATTCATCATCACGCTGATGGTAGACCTGCTGTGCCGCAAGTATGTCGCAAATTCGGAATTTACAGAAAGCTCCTGGATTTTTCCAAGAATCACGGCTATAAAATCTCTTATATCAAAATCCATTCGATTCAATACTGCGCAGCGAAGAGGCTATACTCTTGTTTTAGCAACAGTGCGTCACCTCTGCTTCGCAGAGGCTCGCACAGTAACCCTGGCTTATTTTAGGTTGTGAGTTGACGTTGAGACGTTTTAGCTTCAAGGTTATGCGGAAGCGCATTTGCATACGCAGAGACCAGTCTTCTAGAATAGCAAACTGGAATGTCTCTTTTTCGCAACATGCAACAATGAGTTGCCAAAAATGTCTGATAAGCAAGCACAAACTTGACATCCATACTTTTCGGCTACCCAGTATAGTTGAAGGGAGTGGCTCGTCAAAACTGAACATCTCAAAAAAATTGATACTGTGAACTGCTTACACCCCCGATATGAGACCAGAGCAAATCCGAACGCACAGCATGCTGCCCCCACCAAGGAAATTGCCTCAAACCCGTAAGCCCAAGCCATTTTTACATGCCATTCGGGCAACCTTGCGACACCCCCCACCGTCAGAGGCGGCATGCCGCAATGCTATAAACACGAGGGTCTTGCAAGACTCTACGTCTCTAACCAAAGCGTGATGTCACTCGTCCAAGGAATGGGGCCCTGGAAAGTGCGGGTTTTCGCCATTTTGCTTTTTTAAGGTGAATTTCCGGAATCAGCGCATCGTATTATCCAAGTAAGAAAACATTTTCAAGTGAAATTTCGAGCCATTTATAACATCTACTAACTCTTCTTATTGTTAAAATTTGGGTCAGACTGCGCGGCGACGAGGCGAACATCGTTTACGTAGCGTGCGCCGTGCAGTCTGGTCCAACCCTTTGTAATCGATACCCTTTGCAAATTCTGTGACCGACATATGCCACCGCTACCAAATATGATGCTGGAAAACAGTACTTTTTCGCACTAAGCATGCGTACGTGCCAACTTTGATTCCCACCTTTGTATCTAATTTTGAACAAATGTTTTCAAACTTAATATCGAAACTCATTCAATTGTAACGAAATTAAGCTGGGCGGTTATTCGTTAGACTATGATTGGAACCGTAGCTGGACTTTTACCCAGTAACGCCTACTTTCAACGCCCTTGCAAACCGGCATGTGTGGTAGTCAATTAAATCTCTTACTAAGCATTTATCAAGCAGTTACAATCAAACATAGAGCGTAAATGTATAGCGGCAGACAGCAATAATGGGCGGAATAAAGCATAGGAATGGATAGATAGGAAATGAGATAGGAGTTAAGTTATCAGATGAAGATGACCAAACAGGAGGGAGCTCTTGCATTACACCGATACAACCTCTAAGTAAAGAGAGCACATGTAGAAGAAAAGAGAATAATGGAGTAAACAGATTACATGTATAAGAGGTATTAAAATGAGTGGATGAAGGCTGAGCCGGCCGGAGCCGGCTCGCTTGTTGGTGGTGTCTCTCTCTGGCCCTTGGGGGCGGGGCTTAGTTGCTTATATAGTTAGCGGGCGGGCGGAGCAAGAGGCAGGAACCAATAGCGCATTACCGTAGCCAGCGCTTTTCCTACATTGTAGGAAAAGAACAAGCTACTATTGCAACTCCCAGTCGACGCAAAACCCCTCTCAAGACCATGCCAAAAACAAGCACCACAACATATGCGATCACCATTGCTACATCTAGTACCACTACTACGCGAACAACACTGCGCCCCATTACAAAACCATCTATGCACATTCCACCCCACGTACATCGCAGCCCAGCAACTCCAGTGACACGACACCCTCCAAGCATAAAAATGACAACTTTTAAGGCCGTCACTACAACTTTGCGAACTACCCCTAGGAGACCAATCTTAACTTTAGAAGAATTAATTCCTCTACCCCCTTGGCAAACGGTCCACAGACAAACCAAGCGGACTAACCAGTATAGCCATCCTTTTGAATCAACAAACATCCGGAGCACTTTTAACAACGTATGCATAAGGCAATACTTGAACAACCAAAAAATTCACGAACTTAGTCGCGCCGACCCTACATGGGCTGCTCGAATTTTACTAGGAACTTCGGACGTAGTCGCTACACTCACTGACAATATACTTTTGGTCTCAAGATGCAGAAAAGTAGAACCGACAGAGGTATACTCAAACCATCAGGTGAATCAAACCTGTTACGATTTGCTACCAGTTATAATCGAAAATCAATTGTGGTTTGCTATACCCGGAACAGGGGACTTAGTTCACTCAGCCATCGAGACACCGTGCCCTTACATTACCAACCTTAACGGACAAGTACAGCCTCTGTTGCCGCCCAATATGATCGCGAACGAAAATGCGCAACCATTCCTTTTCAACCCTCCTCCCATTTATCATCATATAATGAAAAATTACGCGCCGACGATCAGATTCCAATTAGACAGGCTACAGCAAGAGCACCTCACTTTACAGAATAGATTACAAAAGCGAGGCATCATGGATGATGCTTTACTCAAAATCAAGGATGTAAAAAACACAATAGGTGACTCTCTGTCTGCGGTCTATGACAAAACCACCAACAAACTCACTGATGGCATAGAAAACATTAGGTGGTCCCTCATAGCGCTACTCTTATGGATTACGATACCGGCGCTAGCGGGAGTTATTCTCGTTGCAATATGTGTTTGCTGCGTAAAACTGTATTTTATAAGAAAAGCATCCAATACAGCAGCTTCAGCTATATTCGAACTAGCCAGTAACTTTACGAATAAGAAACAGCTGCGTAATCGACCACAAGTCAATGCGCTTGATATAGAACTGCCTCATCAAGAACCTCTATTTATCCCCCGCATTTACGCGATAAATGCACCAGCTAGTCATGCAAGAAATCCACTACCATATGTAAGAATAACCTTGAATCACACTTCAGCCCCGGCTCTGATCGATAGTGGCGCCACAATCTCCTATATGAAACAATCCACTTTGCACGCATTGGGACCAGACATTAGGATAGAAAACAACCACGTAAAAGCACAAGCGGCTAATGGATCCCAAATAGAACTCCTAGCCTCAGTAATTGTAAACGTAGGTATAGGAACGCATGTCGTACCTCATCGATTCCTCGTGTCGCAAGATCACCAGTGTCCCGCGCCAGTTCTCCTCGGCACCGACTTCATCAAAAAGTTGAATCAGCTAGGCCTGAAAGTTACTATTGATTTACATAACAATCTACTCACGATAGGCAGTAACGCACATGATATGATCCAAATTAATGCCATTAACTTTGTAGAAGTAAAACCGCAGGACGTGCGTCTTTTGCATACTACTATTTTACCCAAAAGGTCCTCCTCAATTGTACCAGCTTTTATCGAAAACTACCCGCCTAACAGTCCATTCGATTTTATCATTGAAGATAACCAGAGAGACGTAGACCTTCTATACGTTGTAGGCAGGTCATTGACTCGCCCATCTGTTGACGGAATATGCCTTATTACCATAATGAATCCTTCCTACACTGACATCAAACTATATGAAAGGATGAGAGTAGCATACGCAACACCCGTATCTTCACCAGTTGAACAGATACTGGCTATACAAGGCGAATATATTCCTCCTGAGGCAGATTGGGAAGATAAGATTCCCCATTTTCCTATTCCAACGCCAGGCAATTACGATATAGCCAGGGAAATAGACCTCAGTAAATCCGCCTTAACACCAGATCAAAAAGAACAGTTAACGACTATCATACGCCTTCATTCAAAAGCTTTTGTTGGACCAGATGGTCACTTAGGGCACTACAACGGACCGATTCGACATCGCATAGATCTCATAGACAACGCTCCAATACCAACCAGGAAAATCTACCGCGTGCCACTTGAGAAAAGAACCGAAATTGAACATCAAATAACGCAAATGTTAAAAGACGGAATCATCCGTGAGTCGGCTTCCCCATTCTGTGCCCCTATAGTCTTAGTCCGTAAACGGGATGCCACTTCATGGAGATTTACCATAGACTTTAGAGGACTTAACGCCATAACTAAGCCTCAACAATCGATCCTCCCTAACATCCAAGATATTATTGATCTGTGCGCGAACAGCTGCTTATACTCTTCACTTGATTTCCAACAAGGTTTCCACCAGATCCCTCTAGAAGAAACCCATTGCGAAAGAACAGCTTTTGCATGTTTCCTTGGAGCATTCGAGTATATACGAATGCCTATGGGGCTAAAAGGAGCCCCTGCAACTTTCCAAAGGATAATGGACGATTTCAAGAAACATCTAAGAGCCCGCGTCTTTATATATATCGATGATTTGATTATTACCTCCGAAACACCCGATGAACATCTTACAGACATTGACGAAGTTTTAACCAAAATAGAGCAAATTGGAATGAAGTTGAAAGCCTCAAAATGTGAATTCGCACGCAAGGAAATCAAGTTCTTAGGCTTCGTGCTCAGTAAAGACGGAATAAAACCGAACCCCGAAAAGACGAAAGCAATCGACAATTACCCCACTCCTAGAAGTCCCACCGACGTCAAAGCCTTCTTAGGTATGTGCTCCTTCTTTAGGAGATTTGTGCATAATTTCGCGGCTATAGCCTCCCCTCTAACCGCTTTAACCAAGAAAGATGCCCCTTTTATATGGACCCCAGAATGTGAAAACTCCATGAAATGTCTGAAATTAGCACTCACCACCGCTCCCATCCTTGTTGCTCCAAGATTGGGCCTTCCCTTCGTCATTGAGACGGACAGCTCTGGGAAGGCTGTTGCAGGTGTCCTGAAACAAGAACAGGATAGTACTCTGAAGGTAATTGCCTATGCTAGTCGAACTCTTAATATCCACGAATCCCGTTACCCAGCGATAGAATTAGAAGCGCTGGGAGTGGTCTTCGCAGTACAGAAATTCCGTCCGTACATTGACGGTGCGACTTGCACTGTGATTACTGACCACGCACCCCTCAAAGCACTTTTACACAGAAAAGATTTAACCGGTAGATTAGCGAAGTACCAAATCATTTTGCAAGAATTCGATATCACTATTGTCTATCGACCCGGTAAAGCTAATGTCGTTTGTGACACTCTCTCTAGACATCCGCCTCAAATAAACGCTACCCAAACACAAGATAGCATTGATATTGACTTATCTTCACCCGATATTATGGACCGCATAAGGGAAGAACAAAACAAAGCTCCCTGGATAGCCTCTTACAAACAAGCTATCGAGAACAACGAGCCTAATCCTTACGTTCGAGACTACATTGTTTTGAATGATATCCTTTACAAGCTACCAGAAAAGGTTTACCAAGATCCCCAAATCGTACTTCCAGAAGACTCTAACATTAAAAATGTACTTATCAAGCAAGTACATGAGTCACGCTTCGGCACCGCCCATTTAGGTATACAAAAAACCAAAGCCGCGATAAGTAGAATAGCAATTTGGAATAGAATGTCAAGTGATATTAGCGACTTTATTAGGTCGTGTACTATCTGCCAATTGCGAAAAGATCCCTCGGTCTACCGCACCAACGAGCCACTAGATCGTTTTGAAATACCTAGACGACCATTCCAGCGCCTACGCTCAGACGTCATTGGCCCCCTACCGTTAACACTACAGGGAAATAAGTTCATCATTGTTTTTGTGGATGCATTCTCCAAGCTAATCATTGCCGAGCCCATACCTGACCAAAAGGCCACCACCACAGCAGATGTATTTATACATCGGATGGTAAGCCGCTTTGGTCCACCCGAAACCCTTGTTACGGATCAAGGCTCAAACTTTATGAGTGATGTCTTTCGCAACACGCTCAAGGTTTTAAACATATCTCACAAAACTAGCACTCCCTATCATCATGAAAGCAACGGCCAAGTAGAACGCGCAAACAAGACGATAGAGGAATTAATTTCCACCGCTGTCACCCAAAAGGAAGACCAATGGGATGACATCATCCACTTGATGACCCACGCTTATAATACCTCTGAAAACACTTCTACCAAATACACCCCATTCTTCATCATCCATGGCAGAGAAGCCAACAACGCCTTCCGCCTAGCATTACAATTGCCCTCCAAAACCTTCATCAGTGAAGAAGATTATGTTGAGCAACTGACATCCACTCTCCAAAACGTATGGAAAGAAGTGCAACATAATCTAATCACCTCCCAGGACATCCAGAAACACCACTACGATTTGAGGAAAAGAGTCAGTCCCAGTAACTTTCAAATAGGACAAAAAGTATTGATAAGAAAAGACGTAGAATCAAAAATCGCACCTAGGTTTGAGGGTCCCTTTCCAATCGTCGACATTGAGCGCCCGAACGTCACCGTTCAAGACGGGCGTCGCCTTCGCACGATCCATATGAACCGGTTGAAGCCTTACAATCCTGCAACTTGAGTAATACACAAACACATATTACAAGGTTAAACCTCGTTCATAATCAAACACAGTTTGGAAAAAAACTTTAATCGCATAAAATACAGCATAACAAAACGACGATAAAGGACTAGCTACAACAAGGAATCACAGAAAACTAGGAATGACTACTAGCACCATATAAACCAAAATGTAACACACAATTACATTGTACAAAAAAAAACTACACTATACACAACAATGACTAACTATACAACAAATATTTACAGGACAAGATATATACATATTCACAGCAACCCATTTACAAGAAAAAAAAACCTAGCCTCAAGCCGGCATCTCCCTCCTCTCCTCCCCTGCCGGTGGCCCAGGAGACGCCTCGCCACATCTTCTTGCCGCCTCGCGGAGTACGGCTCGAATGCCTCCATCAACGCATTCGCGGCATCGGCGTCTCCAAAAGCCGCAACAAACGGCTAGGAAGCTCATCAGTACGACGAGCGCTAAGAACATTATGTACATAATTTGCGAAAAAAAAAATGAAAAAAAAAACCAAAAAACTAAGAAAAAAAAAACCACAAATGAGTAAATACAGAACTCACCCACAACCAAAGCCGCAATTAACTCCCAATTTACCCTCTCGGCTTCTTCAGACGGCGTCGTCGTCGCACCATTACAACTAGCGGAAAAGTCGTCCGCCTCATAGCACACACACTTAAATTCTCCCGCGCCCAAACCGAAACAGACGCCTCTCTCATTGCAGCGCTCCGCACAAAAACTCCTATCCACAGACTCAGGCATCTGAAAATTTATGGCAGAAGAAAACATAACAAAAAAAATAGCACAATTCACAATATAAAGTTAGGTTGCCACCAAAAAATGAAATGCATCACAACAAACATTCATTTACTAACATATTGCAAACCCGGCATAACAAAACCATCGGCCAACAGATTGGCACAAGCACAACAAAAAAAAACAGCATTACAAAAAGACTATAGGAAAGTAACAACAGCATTAACAACACAAACAATAAGGTAACAAGCTTCCATGCTTATCATGCCGTTACCTGCCCAAGTATATTACTCCAACAGCGATCACGGGCTTCCAGCGCCGAGTACGGCATGCACGAACAACGTGGCGAATAGATACAGCTAACGCCAACGTTGAAATCGCGAACGCTAAAAAAAAAAATAAATAAAGAAATAATTATAGGAAGAAAAGTAACACAAATAAACAAACAAAGCAAAAGAAAAACAGCAACAAAACATTACTTACCCGCAACCAGCGCAGCCCAGATTAAACAGTATATGTACAACTCTAGAGTAGTCGAGCGAAAAGTAGGAATAATAGCACCATCATAGAATACAGGACCATCTGAAAAAAAAATCGATAAGATCATAAGAATTTACTATAACGGACATGAAGCAACACGTCAAGCTTCCGCACAGTCACATTATTGCGAAATCTGGAGATAACAAAGAAAACATGAGAACAGATTAGACCAACTAAATCTAATAAGGCAAAGATTTCGAGAATAGACGAGAACTTACCGCAACAACAAAGAAAAAAGCTTGACATGCCATAACAGCGAATATATGAGCAAATGGAGGCCAAGACAATCACAGCGTTCAACATGACGCAACGATTTTGAATTGCGGCGTCACCCGCCGAAATCAATTAGGCCGCGGCGCGCGCAAAGCGCGCAGCGCACCCCCACATTAGAGCACCCATGCCATCAAACTATTCCGATGACATGTTAAACACGTCAAAACCATTAAAACGTAAACTACAAGCGTCCAACACTTTCAGATGTCAACCAACATGCTTCCCATCGTCTCGAAACGCTTCAATCGTCTGAGGTCCCGCTCTTCATCGTCATCCAGCTCCCGTCACACGCAACATTCACCTGTATCGCCTTACGCTCGTTCTTCTTCTTCTTCTTCTTCTTCCTCCCCATCTCCCTCCTTGACTCGCTCCCGTACTCGTACTCCTACTCCTCTTTCTGATGAAATCATGACTTCGAATGTAACATCTCCAAATAATATTTCTTCTTCTGAATTCCTTTTCGCTGTAACCGCAACACCTGAATCGAATTTTGTATCTAATACCGCTTCTTCTCCTTCCCAAGTTAACCAATCTATCATGGCCACAGACCCTCCGGAAGGAACCACTTCTTCCACAATAGCCATCCACATGCCAGAACCAGCCTCTGAAAGCTTTTCTCGCCGTAGAAGGCTTCTCACTACACCCAAACCTCCCCTCAGGAGGACTTCACGCACTCCTGCACAATCACAACCACGCCATTGGGAAAAACCTCGCGGAGCTATCCCAAGCTTAATCAAACTATGTCGTTCTCCCAGATTCCCGGAGCCACATGAACCTCAATTCTATTATAAGTTGAAACACCATTACCATGGACCTACACAAAAACGCTGTTTCAATCCAGTCGTGATACCTCATTGCCTCCTCTGCTATCAAAGCACCCATCGTACGCGAGACTGTCAGTCACCCATGACTTTCCTTGCTAGAGCCCGCATACTACTCAAAAAATACAGGCTCTGTCCTCGCTGCCTCGAAGACCATCCCTTAAAAGAATGCACAGAAAACCCAATCTGCTTCCGTTGCAATGCTATCGGCCACGTCACCGCCATTTGTCAAGATGCACCTGTAAAATTTTTTTAGTCCCGGGGACCGGGACTTTCCGGCGGGGTAAGATGTAGGAAAAGCGCTGGCTTCTGTTTGAGTTTGGCAGGATCTTGGTTTATCTCTAGTTCTAGTAACCCAAATTCTTGTGATAGGTAGTGGTCGAAAACGTCAGTGATTCCGTTTTCAAGATCTTGAAGCAAAGAACGCTCAGCGTAATTCAGTGGCCTTTTGGTCCTGATGGCTTTAAGCCAAGTGATCTGACGATAACGATATTCAGCGTATCGGATGGTGCGTAATACGCTTATGCGGGCGTTTTCAGTCGCATACATGCGACTTCGGCGGAGAAAGTCACTGTTGGTAATATTCCAAAGTTTGATTTCACTCAATAGGATAATGTTGGTGATTGGTTGCGTTTCGAATCGTGGTAGTTGTTGAAATTCTTTAGTACCAAAGATTCTTTGAGTAATAGGAATTGTTTGCGCTGGTATTAATTCGTACTTCGACTGTCTATTCTCTGTATCCGTAAGATACCTTGCTTCGCGTTTTTGCCTAAAGCTATAAGAGGCTTCTAAAATGTAGTCTTGGATCATCGTGTTAGGAGGAATGTTGGGAAACGAAATGATGTGATTCGAGGTAGTTAGGTAGCTGTTTGTTATGCTACAGTGTTTTAGCAGTTGCGTACGGAGTATGTGGTTACCACTAAATTCAAAAGCCAATTCGTGCTCCGGTATGAGAATGTATTTCATACTTACCAAAGCGTCATAATTTCCAATAGGACTGTATCGGCACCAAGGGTAAATTTGGATAGGTTCCCAGATTACGATCTCGTTATCTGTTAAACAACTGCCATCGGTAATGGAACAGTTATTCAAGTTTCCTAGGGTGCTTATCATGGTTTCACCGTCCAACGACGCTATCTGACCTTCTTCAATAGAGTATAGACTTCGTAGATATAGATTTGTTCCCCAGAGAGGCAGTGAAGAGTTTTCATCTTCGATTTCCCTGGTTGTTTTGAGACCAGGTGACATTTCTGTAAGAGCGTGACCATGGATGATATTAGTTGTTTTAGCTAGTTCACAATCTTCGCGGGAGACGGATATTCGTTGTCGACTTATCACTGTTCTCCTAGTCCTAATGTAAAGAAAGTTGTGTATTGAGACTTTTATGACGTCTCGATAGCATTTGTACGCAGTTATTTGTAGAGGTTTGTTGTTTTCGCTGAACAGCTGTATATTTGTCTCGATCATTGGTTCTTCGGTGGTTACGCGGCATTGCACTAATATTGGAAGTGAGAGTACGTTGGGAAACGAGCTACTTCCGCATATTTGAAAAGACCCTATGGGTACCACGAGGCAGGCTGCTGTTATGGCTAGTAGGCAGAGAAAGTTAACGTTTTGCGCAGGTGAAGGGAGGCGGTTAGATGTTTGATAGTATGGCGGAGAGTTTGCTATTGCAGGAGCAAAGGGTTGATTGGGACCTATGTATGGAATAGGCTGTGTATAGGCAGGATAAGGAACGTAAGGTCGATTGAAGTAGCGAAACGACGCATTAGGTGGGCGGCGGTTCCAAAATCGAGGATTTGGGAACAATCTTCTAGGCACAAAACGCAATTGACGCGGGGGATTCACTTGATTGCTTATTCTGGGACGGTACGGAGTTTGTGATCTCCTTGGCTGGAAGTTTGTGATTTGTCGCGCGTTTGGTGCAAAGCGTACTACTGGACGTGGGCGTTCTTGCCTGGGGCTTCTAGGCGGATTGCGAGTGGCCTGTTGAAGGCTATTGACTTGATCAGTTAATTCTTCCACTTTTGCATCTAACACCAAATTATTTATGCTCTCCAGGATCTCTTTTTCTTCGCGATATTCCTGTTCAAGAATTCTTTGCTCCTTTTCAGCATTTGCGAGTGCGGTTTCAAAGTCTTTAGGATCCGGGAGTCTGCGAATTGCTCTGCGGATGTCGGGCCTTAGACCTTTGATGAAAAAGTCGATGGCTAATTTGTTAGGAATCGTCTTGTCCTCACCTTGGTACGCTACTTTAGTTTTTGCTAGGATCTTTTTCGCAAACGTTCCTACGGAATCCTTTCCTTGTCTAAGATGGTGTAATTCGTCGCGGACGTTACTGAGCATTGCTTCGTTTTTGAACTTTTTAGCTAGGGCCAAAACCATAGAATCCCAAGTTTCCTTTTCTTGGTCTGTTAGGGTTTGGAGTTTCACCTTAGCTCCACCTCCTAGAAATAGGGGGAGTAGACTTTTCGCGTATGCGTGGGGAATATGTAGGCTATCTACCAATTCTTTGTAGTCGTCGAGAAATTCTTCAAATGTTTTCTCACCGTCGCCGGTAAATCTTTCTAAGCGGGTCCCTAGAAGTTTGCTTGAGGCATATAAATTTGGCTGAGAAATTTCGAGGTGTTCGAATACAGGTGCGTTCGCATTGGTTTGTACGCTAGCGCTGGGCATGTTGGCACGTCGTTCTTGCTCCTTTGCTGCCTTTTTCCGGTCTTGAAAGTCTCTGATTACGGCTCGAAGTTCGTTAATTACGTCGAGAGAGAAGTTGGGATTGCTTTCGTCTACGGAATGGTATTCAAAATCTTCCGGGGGTTCTAATTCGCTAGTAGAAGGACGATCTACGTTAGATTGCGTTATACGCGGGGTTTTGCGTTCTTTTCCCAGTTTTGCGAGCGTTACGTTACGGTCGTCACAATATATTTGACAATCGCGCGCTTTCTATCGTTTTAGGGGACTGTAATGATAGAATGAGAACTAGATCTCTAGTGTTGCTGGGGTTGTCGCTGGGGTTACGTAACCAGATACTGTCTGGCTGGTTGAAGGCTGTTCGTTTGTTCCTACTTCGCTAGCTTGGTCGCTAGCAAATTCTTCTGACTAGTGGGCGGTAAGTCGCGCGGGTCTACTGTGCTAGTGGAAGGTTTGTCGCTAGGTTCAACTCTACGTCTAGAAGTTGTTGGAGTTTCCTCAGCTTTTGCAGATGATTGCTGCTGTCTACGCTCAGCGAGTTTTGCGAGAAATGCTGCTCTTCTTTCGTCAAATCTTTTAAGCCTTTCGGATCTACTTAATTCTTCACGTACTTTGGGTTTCTGTTCCTTGGGAGGAATTTTGTTGTAGACGGAGTATTTGAATATTCAAGCAACGAATTTTCTTCTTCTATTTTAGGAATGGCGACTCACTACAGTCGGGGATGAGGATGATGAGAGCAAATACTGAATTTGGGCTTAAGCGTGAGTTTTTACCTCGTTTTTTTTTTCGCTGTTACCTTTCTTTTGTACTTTTTTTCCACACTAGAGAGTTTTTTTTTTACTTATATGATTTTTCTCGAGAAAGACACGAGTTTTATGGATCAAGTATTGATTCTAGATACTGACAACTCGAGGAGTGGTTACGAAGGATGCGAAGTACTCTTTTCCTTTGTATGTATCGATTTTTTTTTGAATGCGTTGTATGTTTTTTTTTGGATGGTTTCTTATGCTGATAACACGCTGTTTTCTTGTGCTACACTGGGTATTAGAAATTTTTTTTTCCCGGGGGGGGGGGGGGTGTTTGAAGAGGAGCTCGGTGAGTTTAATTTATTTATTTTTATTGGGTTGAAGAATACTTAAGATTGCAAGGAAATGAGGACAGTATCAGAAGTATTATGCGAGAAAATATTCCACTTGAAACAATTAGTGATATGTGCAATATTCTTTTCTCTTGTAGTATCGAAAACGTTATATGAGAGTTTTTTTTTTGGAAAGAGGTTAACTTAAATATGAGAACGAGAGAAGCGAGAGTTCAATTATATGTAAAAGTCAATGAATAATGTTTTTATACTCACTATTTGAGACTTCTGATATGATGTGGCTGAACTGAGCTTCCTCGGAAATGGAGTATTAGAGGGCGACTGGTAGCAACCTTAGCTGGCAATTGTGCGCTAGACGAATGAGGTTCTAGGGAATGGCAAAGAGTTTATATCAGCATTTTGCCGTTTATTTCGTGGCGATCTCTAGTTTCAAATTTTTTTTTGTTGAAATGTTTATACCATGAGCGCATATCGCTAAACCTGGACTGTTTATCAGATGCGTGGAGCGGATGGTTTACATTTGTCACGAACTGCGGGGAAAATGCATGAGTATCATGTTTCAAGAGGATAGTTTACGTGAATCTGTGACCATTTCGTATAGTTTGAAAATATTTGGTGTAACATGTATATAGCTGTGTGAGCATGCTTTAAAAGCATGTCTATTGCGAAAGTCTTCTTTTCTCGGTATCACTAACACACCTTTGCAGCGATTTATGGGGCAAAACGAGGAAAAATGAAAATAAAAAAATAGCACCAAGTAATGAAATGAGATGGATTAACAATGTGAAAAAATAAATATAGGGAGAACCTTTTAGGGTGGCAATTATTCCTTCTTCAATACGTGCCAGCTAGATGTGCTGGACCCAACGCTTTCTGGCCTGTCGCCGTTGTGGAGATTCTGCCATACGGCCCGGTCGGTCCGAGCGATTTGCAACTTTGGAATCTCCAGCCATAGTTGCTCCATGACATACTGGCGAGT